GGTGCCGGCTTGTACCGGTGGTGCGTATGGTGTTGTGAGCAAGAGTCCGAGTCCGGCACCGAGTTCGTTGTGTGCGTTGACGCCATCGAACGCCAACGGCGGACTGATCGGAGGAAATGCTGCTGCAGCTAGTGGAAACGTTCCGCCACCACTCTCACAAATGCTTTTCTCACAACTGCTCAATTCGGTGTCGTCATCCAATTCCGGACCGGTCTCGTCTTCGTCCTCTTCATCGCAATCTCACGATCAACAGCGACAACATCAGCAACACCAGCAACAACAAACGTCTTCCAAAGAGGCTGCACTCGATCTCACCACTTCACAACTCAACGCCAACTCTACCCCACCGTTCATGCCTTTTCCACCATTACCACAACACTGTAATCGTTTATTCAGTTGTTTCCCTTATTTATTTTCATACGAAGCGATAACTGTGTCATATGCATTTTTAGTATTGTCTCATTGTCAGTGAATCACCGTGAATCTCTCTCTACTGAATAGTTGTGAATGTACCGAAATAACTATTGTAGAATCCAGTTCTAGTTCATCATATGGGTGCCTACATGTAGCTGAAAGAATATTGCTTACTGCGGCAGGATTCTAGGAAACATTTCCATCCACGCTGTTCATATTTCAGTTTTAAGTTTAGCTTTTGAAGGACTTCAAGACCGTTCAATAACACTGCAGATATTCGAGATTCTGGCTGCAAATGGCCACTAGGACATTGTGAAATTCTACTGAAGCGTTTATGATGAGTTGGATGATATGAAAATCGGTGAAAATGGTTGAGAAATTTCATTTTAGTGATGCGACCACCGATGAGTTTTGGTTTGTCTGCGAATCGCGCGGCAATGTCCGCATCCGATTCAGTGGCATCGTCGTCGAATCCGAGTGAATCAACACTGTCAAGCGTTGATGGTGCTGGTGGTGGTGGTGGTCAAATGACCACGAACTTAGCTGGTGGTTCATCGGGTTCATTGCTGAACAACGATGATGACTGGGAGGCACTGATGGAGATCAGTACGACCGATGAGACTGAGAAAATTCGAGCGTTGGTCGGTGATAAGGCACTGCCAACAACGGATCCGAACCAGTGCCTGCTCTGTAGACGTGTACTGTCGTGTAAAAGTGCCCTACAAATGCACTACAGAACACACACCGGTTAGGCGATTTGCTGATTTTTGCTGATTGAATGGCTCATTAAGAAATATCTTGATTTGTCAGAATTTGAAATCTAAGATCAGGATATCCATGAGACTAGCGAATCGATGATGCCGGCCTATATGAGGCTAAGCAGTGATTCAAATGAGGCTAGGCAGTTATTTTTTGATTTTGAGGCAAGCAACAACCGCTTGGTGTAGATCTCGATAGGTAACCTAGGCTATCAATTCATTCTCATCATGAAAAATCAGTTCACCCTGATCACACTGATCTGGCTGTCATAATACCTCTGCTTGAATTATTAGATCCATGATGGATAATGAATTAGGCATCGATTAGGTGAAGAAATTTTAGAATTTCATTCTGAATGAAGTGACCCGAGTTTCTGAATGAATCGTAATTTAAGGTGAGCGACCGTTCAAGTGTAAGATTTGTCAACGAGCTTTCACAACAAAGGGTAATCTCAAGACACATATGGGTGTTCATCGTGCCAAACACACTTTCCGTGGAATCACCGGTACACCAGCCATTCAACACCAATGCCCTATCTGTCAGAAGAGGTTTTTCAGTGCGCAGCTTTTACAGCAACATATCACGCAGCACACAAATCAATTGACCAGGTAAGTATACGGCTTATGGAGATGTGAGCCGAACTTTTCAATGCCAGACCTGTATAAGAATTCGATTGTGAGTGTGAAAAGCACTCGAAAGATTTCGATTATTAGGCGGTAATCGAGTGAAACGAATTGAAGGAATGGTATGATGCCACCGCCACCGTTCGACAACCCGTTGGGATCACCGAATTTCGAGCGTCGTCATGAAATCGGAGGACCAACATCGTCTGGAGCAATTCCTTCAACTAGGTACCATTTGATCTCATAGTAACATTGGCTTAAACTTTTTGCCCGCTTCAGTCTTCAGAGACCTGGATTGATCAATAAAGAGATTAAAATGATAATTGAGCGCATTTCTGAGTTTTCAGTCAGTCGTTTATGCAGCATATGAACGGTGCCGCCGGTTTCATGGGTCGACCACTGGGTAACGGATTGATTGGACCGCCATTCCCGACACCTTTTCCTTTCTTCCCACTGGGAATACCTCGCCCTCTCGCCACCAACCTACCGCCATCATCGTGTACCAGTAATGGTCTCAGTAACCATAACGCTATGATCAATTCGCAGTCTCAATTGTCCCCAAATCTATCATCTCTCTCATCGTCGACACCATCTTCATCGTCGTCATCATCACACCTTCAACTGTCTACGTCCGTTTCGAATCCTTTGAGTAGTTCAAGACCTTTGCCTACTTCACCTGAAGGTTTGTTATCTCTTTGTATCGGTTGTTATGCGACCATGCAGTCGCCTGTTATGTAAATGAATAAATGCATAAGTAGCTTAATGGAATATTGAATTTTGAAGGAATATTGATATATTAATAATATTGATAATAATCTGATAGTAATATATAATTGATGTAATAACAATTGATAATATTGATATAGTTGATAATTATGTTATAATATTAATAATTGATATAATGATATTGATGGAATGCTGAAGGAAAAGTTTATCCGATATTATTTCAGTTTCCGAAGGTACGGGAAAGTCTGTGGGAATAGTTTCATCGTCACCGTCAACACCAACACCATCCGATCCGTTGCTTACTACCAACAATGTGCCACTGAATTTACAATCAGTGTTGAATTCAGCGTTGAATATTGCTCTGATGAAGAAGGAGGAGAATCTGAGCGAT